GTGTCAAGACAGAATGTCGACTCACCGGACCCGGCGTAGAGTACGCTGGACTAACTCACTTCTCCGGCTCTCGAGAATGTCTACACTGGATCGACGTCTCAGCAGTACAGTTCAAAGATATAATGTTTGATTCATTATTTCCCGACAAGACTCGTAAGCAAGCAGAAAACAGATGTCGCAACCCCAACTCAGATCCCGGTGGACCGTGGTGCTTTGTCAGTGCTGGTGCTGCTTCCTACGAGAAAGCTTACTGCGGGATTCCATTTTGTGACCCAAAACCCTGTATGTCGACAACCACCCTTGTTTCCTCGGGGTATAGTCGTTATCATACCGTTTTCTCTCGGATTCCAGCGAATACGACGTCTATTGATTTTTCAGTCAAGTTGTGGAAACCTGAAGAATGGAAAAGTGCAGAATTGGTGATAGCTTTGGTTGATCTTCCTGTTCCACTGAGTGGTACATCGCTGAAATCTTGGAAGAATGGGATTGAAATCGTCATCTCTACTTACAAGTCAGGAATTACGCCTGGAGAAGGGGAAGAAGCGGATTGGAACATTGAGTCAGAGTTGCTTAGAGGCACTCGATGGCAGGATCTAGAACTTGCTTGGACGGGTGGATTTGTCACACTAAAGATTAAAGGGAAAACTATGTCTGTTTTCACCAAGGACTACACAGGCTTTGAGAAAGACAAGTTCAAAGGTGATTTTCAATATTTTAGTATCAAAGGGTCACACGCTTTGTGGAACTTTCCATACTGTTCTTCCGAATCTTGTGAAGAAAAGATTGTAACAACACATGGAGACTTTGATAGAAGATGGCCACTTTCTAAAACCTCTACGGGTTATGAGCTCAGGGTTTTTGTTAGAGGGTACCATACGGCAATCATCGAGTTGAAAATGGGAGCAATGCTACAATATCCTAGTGTTCAGCTGACTTTGTTAAATAGAAAGCGAAACAATCTCACCACTCTGACAATAGGAGAAGCATATGGAAAAGAGAGGAAAATTTTGAGCGAGATAAAAATAGAGAATTTAATCTCAAATTGGGAGTGGAGGGAATTCCATTTACTCATTGACGGAACTCGTATGAAACTTACTTGGATAAACAATTTCAGAACAGTGGATATTATAGATGCGGAACATATAAAATTTGAACTTTTAAAATGGTTTTCTATTGGTTCAAGACAATCCACTATATATTGGACACTTAACTGTAGTCCTCGTGTGCAAGATCGTAAAATCCTTGCAGAATTACCCGAATGTGTTATGACAGAAAGTGAAAAAGAGTTCAAAGGCCATCAATCGACCACTTCATCAGGACTAACTTGTCTCCCCTGGCTCGATCCTACTGGTTCTGGATCTGTGCGTAAGTTTAATGATGATAGTTTTGTAGATGGCTCAGCCAAAGAAGCTAAAAACTACTGTCGGAATCCAACAGTATCACCAGAAGGGCCATTTTGTTTTGCAGTAGATTTGTCAGACACCGGATACAAAGTCAAAAAAGAGTTTTGCCGTCCTCGCAAATGTCGTTCCAAAGAGTGTAAAATGGCTGGTACAGGAAATGATTATATTGGCTCACTGAATACCACCATCAGTAACAGAAGCTGTCAACGGTGGTCAGCCAGGTCTCCTCATGAGATACCTCAGTCTCTATTGTACGCAGAGATGTTCCCAGAGTTGTCACTGAATGATGCCAACAACTTGTGTCGTAACCCGTCACATGACCCAGCAGGTCTCTGGTGCTTCACCACTGACTCTGGAGTGGATACAGACCTGTGCCATGTCCCAGACTGTGACCAACCGGTCGCTTGCACCATAATAGTCCGAGGAAACATGCCACTACAGAGCATTTACGTACTACCTGTATGGAGGACACTCGGTTTTGCTTTCAAAGTTAAGTCTTGGGATCCAAAGAAATCTGAAGGTCTACAGATTGTGGTCCGTTCTGCTAATAAAGACAACCATTGGAGAATCGACCTTGGAGGAGAGAGCAACGACAAGATTATTCTGTACCATAAAACTACAGATAACAAAGAAACAGTGGTGAAGCAGAAAACGGTAAATCATATAGTTCCTTCGGGACATTGGGCAGGTTTTGTTCTGGTCCTAGGATTTGGAGAAGTCGGTCTTAGTTATGAAAATGCACAGACACCATTTTTTTCATGGAAATATTCTTACAGTGAAAAAATTGAACCGTTTTTGCCCAGATATCTCTCTTATTTTGCTTTTGGCAATACATATCCAATTGGATTGTACACATTGTGTGAAGAGTGTCATACACACATTAGTGAACCAGGCTTGCTGGAAAATGTGTATCCCCTTAATTGGTGGAAAACGGATACTGACCTTGGAAATTTTGATTCCCTAACATTATTTATCAGGGGTGTTGGAACTTTTATAGTAATTCTCCACAGATTAATCGACGATGTGAAAAACAGACTATTGATAGAAGTTAGTGACTTTGGTCTGATTGTACTGAAAGATAAGCATTCTGTGCTAAGTGAAATGCGAAGGGAGAAAGAACTTTTCAAAAACCACACTTGGACAAACCTAACACTGGAGTTGAGAGAAGACAAACTGACACTGACTTTGGAAAACACAGTAGTTTTTGAGTTCAGTTCCAAAAAGATTTTATTATTTTACTATTTCTCCTTATCTGTATCCACCGGGCTTCTTAAATGGAGTGCTAATTGTGAGCCGCCGAACATTGATGCAGCCCCTGTAAATGGAGAATGGTCTGAGTGGGGACAATGGGAGTGTAGTGTTACTTGTGGTGGCGGACATGGGAAACGCAAACGTAAGTGTGATAACCCCAAGCCCAACCTACTCGGACAGCCTTGTAACGGCTCCGATGTGATGGAAGGTGTGTGCAACGACTTCAAATGTGGGGACGTACCTCCTGCAATGTACAAAACTATAGCGACCCTCATGGAAAAACAGGCTTACAGCATACGCAAACAAGTGGGAGAGGACTTAACAGTATCTTGCAATCCACACATTGTAACTGAGTTGAAAGATGTCTCCCCAAAAACTAAAGTGGAGTGGACAAAAGATGGTGTACTCTTGTACGAACCAAAGAAAGCCGGTAATGTCTCTGTTGATGAATTTCTTGTGAAAAAATCTAGTATTAGTTTGCATGACAGTGGTATTTACATTTGTGGTTTAGAAGATCGAAAGGGTATTAAAACAGCCATTCAGTTGACATCGGTTACAGTGGTGTCAAATCTTACGAGTAGATGGACAAGGGAGAGGAGCACCATTGTACTTCATTGTGAAATTGCACCTTTGACATTTCTGTTCTCGGATCTTACACAGTTTTGGACTCTGAATGGTAAACTGTATCAAGATCCAGCAGCTCATTGGTACAGTCTGACGGATATAGATCTTCTTCATTCCGTCTCTTTCCAACATCAAGGGGAGTGGGAGTGTGTAGTCCATCAAGCTAAATACAATCTTACTTGGATAACCACATGGTTTAGACTAGGAGTCAGAAAGAATTCTGTTTTGAATATTATGTTTGACAACATTTTTATAGGAGATAAATTTAATATTTTCGGGGAAAGAAAGGTATTAAATTCGTTAATTGGTCTGGGACTAGTTGGTTTTATTGTGATTTGTTGTAGTACTGTGATTTTAACAAACTACCTCAAGCGGCACTCTGATAGGCAAAAAGCAGAGAAACTACAAGACTCAATGATTCAACTAGAACTGAGAAATAGAGGTATTCCTGCCAATCGTATTGAAAACACTAGAGTTAAGAGGAAAAGTAAACAAGAAAGATTAGAAAATCAGAAAGAGTTTAAAAAACTGAACCCTCTTAAATGGCTAGCTATTTGTTTGAGCAAAGAAAAGGAAGACAATATGGACAATGAACAAAGACAAAATCTCCTGAACCGGTTAAAGAGGTCTGGCGGGAAAAAAATACAGATAAAAACACTTTATGATTGATCAAGTTAAAATTTCCATACAAGTTCTTGAAGAAAAATAAATTGGCCAATTCCATTTATATATACTTATTACCGGTACTTATATCCCAAGTGAAAATAATTTATACTTGAATTTAGTATGTAATTATTAGTTACATTAGTGAGATTATATTTTACCCATGTATTTTACCTCTAAGATGTATTTTGAATAGTACAGTTTTTGCTAACACAAGATTTTGGTTTTGTTTTGATGGTTGGTTTTATTTTTGTAAGTGAACCGGTTTTAAGGAGATAAAACAACTTTTGGTCCAATGTTGTGCCAATAGTCAATTAGTAAATTAATTTATCAAGAAACAGAAAAGTTAGTCTGAAATTAAGTGGGGGTTTTTATCCCACCATAAATTCATATTGTTGGGAGATTTATTCTTATTTTTTTCCTCCAACAAAGCAAAGAGAAACTTCTAAAAACAAGTTTTCTAAGTAGGATTAATAGTAAAGTTAAAGTTTTTCTGGTCTCCATGATGTAAGTTATCTCCAATATCAGCAATGGCAAAATACATAACCCACTCGCAGAGTCTTAAAAAATACAATAATTTATTTTCTAAATTTTGTAGAAACTGAGAAAAATGTATTTTTTTAGGTTTTGAAGAATTATGTGTTTGTTAAATTTATAATGTAGGATTTATTAAAGTATTTTGGAGAATAATTATCAAGATAATGAATAGTTATACAACCTTCACTCATAAAAACGGAGATCTATTTATGTCAGGAAATATTAAAGACAACATAGGTATAGTATTAAAAAATATATCTGATTGTTACTCTCAAATCAATGCTAATTTATTACTAGATGAAAGATGTGTGTAAGATAATGTGAAATATGAAAACCTTTGCAATGGTGACTCTGTAACCACATCAACCAATCAGAATGCTTACCACTTTGTTGCATGGAAACAGAAGTTGTTTACATATTCTTATTCTTCTTGTTACACTGCTCAATATTTAGTTTGGTTTGTTTTGAAACAATCAATAATCTTTGCTTATAGAACTTGGTGTTTGTGTATTTTCTTTTCTTATAAGGTTTAAGTTTAATTTTACTTATATTTTAATTTATTTGTGATGGAAAATACAATTTTATCTAGGTCTGAAATTGAAGTTTTTGTCAGTAACCTAAACATCTCTCAATTAGATTCTGTTGGAAGTTTAAGGTAAGTACCGTAAATTTCAACAAATCCTCTTTTGCTTTATACATATTTATGTAATGTTAACTTATTTGCATGAAATGCCAAATCAGGAAATAACCTTCTAAGTGGAAGTAATTGATCTATAAATATATTGTAGCTTAATTATTCTAGTGTTGTTATTATTCTATATATTATAATTATTCTTGTGCGATGTCTAAAATTATTACCAAAATTCAAGTTATTAAATTTTTGTAATATACAGTAATATAAACCTGAGACAAGGCAATAAAATATTAAATTAACCTATAGTTCTCAAAGTAAGGGGGTTGCTTCCTTCACCGTAGTATAACTTAAGTTTTATCGGTTAAGCACCTTGGTTTCTGTCCTACATTTACTATTAGGACTATATTAGGAATTTACTCCTCTTTCTTTTAGTTTAGTTGTATTGTGTTAGGTAAGTTTTTTTCACCTGAGGACGGGATCAGATTCTAGATCCCGAAACGTTGTGTATTGTTTTTTACCATCGTGATGAAAAATGTCCGCAATAAACCTTTGAACAACAGGAATTTACTATTAGGACATTAACTACCAGTTGATGAAACTGTTCTAAACTAAACATAACCTTAACCAAACATGCAGTATATGTGAGTAAATGTAGGACAGAAACTACAGTACAGCCGTTTTAACCAAGGAGAACTTATACTGATGATACCGGTCCTACTTCCTCACTTAATTACCCTTTCAGTATCTTTTGCTTTCGATAACTTACATGGTTCATCAAAGTAATCAACTAACTAGTCCTTGTATATAACCAAGCTGTTGTCAAGTTCATTCTACACTTCTAACACTTGCTAATCTTAATTTATCTTCACATTTTACTAAGTCATCATAATCATAGTAAGTCTTCAAATTTACTGGGATGAAATAGAGTGTATCCTCCTTGTACCCTATTTTGTGTGTAGCTGTTCCTCCTACATATGTGTCAAATTTAAAGGTTTTGTTTGGATTCCATTTTCAACATCATAGTAACTTCCAACATCAGTTAATCAGCATTCTGGGTTGTTGTTGCTGTAAATAGTTGTAAATTCCATATAGTACTGTAGTTAAACAATAAAACATGTTGTTTAACCTTATTGAACAACTAGCTGGCCCGACAGACGTCGTCCTGTCCTAATGTGGTTTTATGTCAAATGCTCGTTCATTTTCAAGATGAGCTCGTTCGCATGCCTTCAGTTACATTTGACAACAAATATTCGTAAAAAACAAATGGAATAGAAACCTATTTGATAGCTCTCATTTGTTATGCATAGATTTGTTTTTAAAAATTAGGTTATCATTACAACAGCTGTTTCCTTAATTTAATTTAATCTAAATATATAAAAGGCCAAGCCCTCACTGACTCACTCACTCACTCACTCATCACTAATTCTCCCACTTCCCATTTACCTAGGAGGCTGAAATTCGGTACACCGATTCTTTGGGCATTAAATAGGAAAACTAAGTAGTTTTTATTCTGATCGGGCTTTCGGGCTCCGCCCCAGTGGCTCTGGAGTTTCCCATGTTAACCTTATGATTTTTCATATTTAAAAGGAATTTCTTAACAGCTGTTTCAATTAAACAAGTTGGTTCTGTTCTATGATGTTCAATAGCATTAAAGTTACAAGGATTACCAACAGGGTGCAGCACTATTATTTTTTTTAATTTATGACAACAGCTAATTTGCAACCAAAAGGTGAGTGAGCGTAGCGAACGAACTTCAACCTGGAGACGAGTTAGCGTAGCGAACGAGCTAACCTGAAGGCAAGTGAGCGCAGCGAACGAGCTCCAACCTAAAGGTGAGTGAGCGTAGCGAACGAACTTCAACCAGGACGTGATTTTGCCATGCGAATACTTATGAAGTTAAACGGGGCAAAGCCCGCGGGTACAGCTAGTCAAGAATAAATGACAAACATGGCATGGTAAACAAAATAAAACATTCTTCCATAAGATTAACTGTAAACTGCAAAGGGCCATAGGACGCTTCCCTTAAGGGTTTTTGAAACGGAAACAGGCTATTATGTTATTCTAGTACCAAGGAAGATCCCTGTAAATTGTCATGCCAATTGGTACAGTAGGTAGTTTTCAGTTATAAACGCTGTAACTAACACAACCTTATTCTTTTTTAAATTAAGATTACTATTTTTTAATGAGTGACAGGTTTTAAATGACGATGGTTAGAAGTTAGACTGATGTTGAGGAAACAATGATATGTTAGGCCTATTTAAAAAGTTTTTTTGATGGTTTGACAACTTGATTTTACTTACCGTACAGTATTTGTGTAAAGTTTATATTTTACATGAATTGCTTCAAAACCAAAATGTTTGTTTACAGCTGGTTTGAAAACCACAAGAGACTTCACATGCTCTATCAAGAGGCTTTGCTGGAAACAATAAACAACAGCAATGAAACAATAAAAGAAACTTTTCTCCTGCATGGGAAGGTTAGTTATTTATAAATCTATAATGTGTGTTTGTATCCAACCATACTCCTTTGCACTCCTTGTGAAAATTTAGTATCATTAATAATAAGTCAAATATAAATAAGAAATAGGACAATTTCTAACAAATTTGCTAAAATTTCTAATAGAAAAAACAATTAAGCACAACATCTATACAGTCGAACCTCAATTGCAAGTGGCACTTGATAACGAGTGTATATTTTCAAATACCGTACCGTACCCTTGGTTTTATATTTACCTTAATTGCATGTTATTGCAAAACCTTGATAAGAAGTGGACTTTGGTAACAAGTCTTATTTGACAATCTTCATGAGTTTTTTAATGCAACTAAGATAATTAATTAGGTACATTTATTCAAATTTAAAAAAACACCTCTAGTTCATGCTCCTGGAAAGGTTTGTTAAAGTGTACAAATGTGGTTTTATTCATGTAGCCTACTAAATAATACCTTAGTCCTTAAAAAATTAGTAAAATGTATTATTTAAAATTTATTTGTTGAATAATAAATATGAAAAAATAAAATAATTTAACATACCAAAGGCACCCCTGTTATGCTTGAAACACAAATCTGAAAATATCTCTCTAAACTTAAAACCAACTTCATTCATGTAATCAGGATATTCATTGCCTTTCTTTATTGAAACAAAAATTCTTAACTAAAAATTTAGGATGAAAAGTAATTTTTTGGAAATTTCAGATAAAAGATTTAGTCTATGAGGCAATCTGCTTGTCTGTTTGGAGGCTCAATATTTTCCCACTACTTTGCAAAGCTGAAATTGAAAAGGAAAAAGTCTTCCCTGTATTTGTTGTGGTAAGTACTCAAGGTAAAACTTTGCAATTACTGGCTAAATTGAGTAAACTTGTAAAGAAGTGATTTTGACCGTCTGAATAATTTGGATGTAAAAGGGACAACAGTATAATGAAGACAGAAAAATGTTGAAAAAATTGGGCAAGATGCTCCGATAGAGGGGATGCGATACTCTCCTACAATCACTGTGCACCATTCGGTGGGGATAGGTCCAGTGGCATTAGGAAGTGATGAGCACCTGCTGGATAGGTGTGCTGAGCCACCGGTCTGGGACCTCACACGGATATCTTGTCGTATACCACCAGGCCAGTAAGGACAAACGCTAGGACTGATCCAACCACTGATCCCTTGCCTCCGCCAAACCCTGAATACGAGCCTGGAGCCACTACCTGGTATGAGGACTACGGAACCAGGATCAAAATTGTGTATATTTGTAAATAGAAAACCTGTGTTAAGGGATATAGAGAGGATTAAATAAACACAAAGAGTTAGAAACTCAATTCTTTCACTTAGTGACTCTTACCACCCTTGGACAAGGTCTAGTGCTTTGGAGTTTTAAGCTAATTAATTACTATTTTGTTTGGCATTTTAAATTGTTTCTCGCAATCAGAATCACATTTCTAAAGGATTTTAATTAAATTTATGTTTCTTTGTGTTTATCAAAATATACAAAGACGTATATATTTTATTACAGAATTATTGTTTCAAAAAAACGTAAACTCCTTCTATCATGACACTATGCTTCCAAGGTATAGGAAAAAGTCAACCTCCTCGTCTTTCTTTCTTAATTCAAAGGTTTTAGCTAATCTAGTCTGTAACAAAGCATCTTGCATTTATGTTAATCAAAACTGTTATGCCTTTCCAATGTAGCTGTATCATGAAGCGACAGCGTTTGGGTTGCTCGAGTCGTTGGCGTTTCACTCAGACTGTGTTGAGAGTCTGCAAGACTCAGCTGTGGAGCTGCTCGACTATTGTGTGCACAACATTCTACAAGTTATTAACAGGTAAACACCTACACTTAATTGAAAATGTAAGATTGAGATGTGGTTAGGACATGTGGAGCTTGTATTTCACATTCGTATATTCACCAAATAATCCCGTCCCAGCAAACCTGCAGACTAAACAAATTTCTATTTTACATAAAAATTAAAAAGTAAATGTCCTGGGGGTAGGTCTTTCTACGTCACCTACGGTAATATGTTCTCTCGCATAAGGGAGGATTTACTAAAACCAACAAAATGTTTCCAATAGTGAATAAAGGAATCGAAATTCCTATAGGCCCTACCAGTGTTCTCCGAACTATATGTCTGTAGCACCCAGATTAGGTTGGTCGCGAAAATATTCTGTATTTATGGTTGTTTAAGCAAATAATTCTTTTCAACTAAATCAGATGTGTTCTTAACAATAAACCATAGTGAGAGACACCTGTTAACTTTCAAATGGTGTTTTTTTCTTTTCTTTTTGATATTCAAAAGGATGACATTGAAAATATTGAAATATTTAAGATGTTTGTTGGTTGGAGTGGTACTATGGGAAAAAAACTTGGTTGTTTTCTTTAACAGTGGAAACTTAAAACGCCTTACAGAAGATGGGTTAAATATTCTGAAAAATTGCTATCCTTGCTATCATAGTTCTTCAAATTTCTTAACAACAACCATACTTTAAATAGAGGTATAATTTGGCTTTTTGACGATATTGTGAGAAGTTTTAATTATTCACCATGTTGATTAGAGATGTTCCTCGAGTGCTAAAGGACAAGTTGGGTGACTTGAGTTCTTCAGAAGAACTGAGGCACCATGAGGCTACCATTCTGCACAACATCGGGCTGCGCAGTGTCTGTGTGCTGCGGTACATCGCAGAGGCTTTTGAAATGTGAGTGAATAGAGTTGTCAATTGGTTTTCAAGATTGTCTTTTTAAGAATGTATCATTCTTGAAAGTGAGAGCCCAATAGTTCTCAACTAGTATATACAATTATTTATCCAGTTCGTTTTAGCACATTGAGGCACAGTTTATATTTATATTTATCTTACCTTTTGATGGCCAAGCAAGATCCAATCTACAATAAATATACAAAGATGTTGTGTTCTAACTTATTAAGTAAATGTAACAGGTCACAACTTGTTCACCACTAACAATTGAAATGGGATGCTGCTGGATGAATTTTTTTTTACCAAAATTTGAGTGAAGGATAAGTGTAGAGTGAAGTAAGTTCTACACAAGTTCAGCCTTAAGTATAGTTTTTTTTCTTAATTAAGCCAGCAGATTATTTAGCCTGAATTATGCATTAAAAGCCCAATGATTAAGGACACCAGGGTTCAGTTTGGAACCATCAAATATTATTTTCATTAGGATCAAACTAGCAACCCTTCTGATACTTCGCAAATGCATCTTTAACCTCTTAGCTGCTAGTGCCTTATGGGCTAGTTTTCCTTTTACTTTGGCATAACCTCTTACTAAAGTCGATCTGTTGTAATTCACATTGATCAATTATCAACCTTTGACTATGGATAGGAGTGATAAAACTATTCAAAGTCAATGGTATGACTCAAACACCTTACTTACTTTACTTTAGATAAATTAGTGACAAATAAATATTAATTTTAATAATTGACTAACTAACTTATCAACGTTGGGATTGTTTTTCTTTAGACTACCTCTGGGCATTTCTTCTCGATTCTACAATCATCATGATGTTCCGATGTTGTTATGCAAAGTCCTAGAACTATCACCATGGTACACATCGGACTTGGACGGAGGGCGGTATCAATTCGTTGGTATGTCTGAAATAGAGTCATCAAAAGATTTTATTAAAAAAGTTAAGAGGATAATTAGTTTTTTAACACATGGACTTTTTTAGAACTTTTACCATTTAAAAATTATGTAGATGGATTAAATGGATATCACTTTCAGTCTTTGAAGAAGGCTTACAACTTAAAACTCTGCTGTAACGAAGGTGTGAGAACAATCTCTTTAGTAACAAAAAAATAGCCCCTGTGACTTATATTGTCGTCAGGGGCAAATATAAGGGGGCCGAGGGGGCCTAGGCCTCCCCCCAAAATAATAGATATGATGAAAAAATAGGTACCATAATATGATTAATTTATCATGAATCATGCGCAAAGTCATCACCGTGGCAGACAGTGATATTTTGTGTGAGTTCGGGTTGATTCAGTAAAGTAAAGGTTACATTTTGCACAAATTACCGCAGAAAAACCGAGATAAAGTATCATCTCAGCGCGTGTCTACTTGAAATGACTTAACCTAACCTTAAATTAATCTCGCCCCCCCCCCAAAAAAAAATATTCTATATCAGCCACTGATTGTCGCATTGTTTCATTATTTTTAGATCGCCATTCACCCCATAAGCCAGTAGTCTATGGTGACAGGCAGTCCAGGTTTTTATAAAAAATTGAGGGAATATAAAAAAATTATTGATAATTGAAACCACCTTTCAGGGTTGCCACACAGTTTTTGAGGCAATTTTTTGTGACTTTTCCTGACCAGTCTGAGGAATTTGTCCTGATTCTTCGGAACCGGGTTTGAAATAAAGAAAAATTATGTTATTTTTTTAATGCAACCTCCTCCATCCCCATGGGTGCCCTACGCTCACCTTTTTATTTAAAAAATAAATAAACAATGTGTTACAATTTACAATCGTAAAAATTTAAAACAACTGCCACTATAGTCATGAAAAACAAGGAACTTACATTAACTTTACTAAATTATTAATAGTAAATTAACATATAAAAATATTGTGAGTACAATATCAGAAGTAACAATAAAAACTTTAAACTTAGCACTTAAAACATGAATAAAATAGCTTTAACAACAAAGCTTGGTAAGAAATTAAACAATCATGTTTTTAAATATTAAGAAAAGTAACTTGAAATAATAATTGATATTAATTTGATTAATAATTTGAATATCAATTAAAGAAGCCTCATGTAATTAATATTCAGAAAGTTCTGTACAGTAATAAAAAGCCTCCTACTGTCAAAATAATTTAACTATTGTACGCAATCCAATCAATTTTTTCTGATCTGAGCTGCAATGAAAATTTAGACGTGTGCCACTGCAAACTTTTGTGACTTTTTCCTATTTTTTCCTGTCTTATGACACTTTTTTAAACATTTTCTTGACCAAAACCCAAAAATCCTGACTTTTAATGTCTGTGGCAACCCTGTATTTAACAAGACTGTGTAAATTAGCCAAAATATTCACAGCTTCATGTAAAAAATAGTTTTAAAAATATTAAATTAGCTTTTGAACAGCCAAGCATTGATTCCAAGGATATAAAGATTAAGTTTATTTGTGCAATAAAGTTAAAAGTCAGTTTATTCGATTTCAATTATTATAACCAATTAATAATGCTGTTCTACAATGCAGACGGAAACTGGAAGTCTCGTTATGAGACTGGAGAAGACGAGCCTTTGAACAAAAGTGAGGGACAAATATGGTTATGCCTTAGACAAGTGTTGCTGGATCAAAGGTTTCTGCAGTATTACGAGATGAGCGACTTCCGCAGACATCAGCTGTGTAAGGTAAGCTGCAGTTAATACCTCGGACAAATTTTGATAAACTAGTGGTTGGTCATGCTTGGAATAATGCCTTCGAACTAATAGATTGGTCTTTTACCATTTTCCACTGTATTATCAGGTGATCGTCCTCAATTCTTTTGCTGTGCAAGACCATCAGCTTGTAAGAGATATTGACAAGCAATTTTGATGTAACATAGAGCAAAAGGGTCTAAAGATTTTTTGTGAGGATAGCAACTGCATGGGAATGAGTCCAAACTCAGCCAACTGGCACAAGGCTTTTGTGTATCCTGTACCAGTTTGGACTCTTTCCCATGCAGGTAAGCCTGCTTCGTCACAAAGAATCCTAAAAATGTCTATACATACACGTTTTATTTCCTATCAAAGTTTCCAGAACTTGAATTCTATAAGATTACCTTTGTAGTCGTAAATCAAAAACTACAGGCTACAACAACAAATGTACTCTAATAAAATGTTGGTAGTTGAGATAAGTAATATCTACAGCCAGAAACTTTCGTAATTGTAATTAAGGTTCAAATAGTCAGGTCAATAGAGTTGGTAAATGGTTATACGTTACTCTACAGTTGCTTTCACTGAACGATTTTGGTTCCTTAACAAAGTGACAGAATAAGTAATGTTGCTTAAGCACTATGACTGAAGCGCAATTAGAATATAGAGAGAGTTTCTACTGACGATTTATTTTGTTTTATCACTACCACTAAAGTGTATTGTGACACAATGAGTCGAGTTTGAACTTAGACATTAGATAAGTCAAATAGAGGTGTTTTTGTGGTTTTAGAGAGTTGTTACTTCCATTTTTTGTTTTTCTCAGCACTTTTTGCCATTCTTGCTTAAAGTTCAAGGCGCTTGCAAAAACTACAATAGATTCAAACATCTAACTCTTCACAGTAAAAAATTGTTTGTTAAGTTAACTACTACGTTTGTCTTCAACGGCACTGCATGTTCCAGCTGATCAGCTACCTACATGACGAACTGCTGGACCAGCTGTCTCCTTTGGTAGAGTTGAAGCATTGGTTGTGTCAGCTGTCTGTAGCTCAGGTGCCACCACCTCAGTCCAGACCTCTTATACTGGAACTGTACTCTCAGGTAGCAAAATTTACTGGAAGTATGATCTTTGAATGTCTTTAAATACTCATTTTAGACAACTCAACCTCATTTCTAGTAATAAAGAAGTGAGTTTTAGGAATGGAAATCAGAAGTTGGGTGATTAAAGATAGTTTCAGTGGGAAGGTAGTTAGGTCAAGGAGTCAAGGTGATTTGAAAAAATGAGAAGAGATAGTTCATTGTAGAACAAAGTGGAGGGTGATTGGGGGAATGGGACAGAGAGGAAGTTGTATAGATGATGAACAACGGGTTATCTAGATGGAGTATGAAACTGAAATGTGGATGGATAGGAGAAAACGGAGAGGCCAACACCTATAAATATCCGGAACAAAGAAAGAAACGTATTATGTACTACTGTAACTAGAGCTTTTAGAATTTGTTTTGTTTACCATTTGAAATATGTTTATCACAAAAAATTTTCAGTATCGAGAGAAACTTCTACAGAAGCACAGTGGCAATTGGGAGAAGCTGGCAGCTAAACTGGGAAGATTCCTGGAAAATCTTGACATCTCTCAGATCCAAGACATTGCAAAAGGGTGAGTCGGTGTCTTTTAACAGGGTTATGTTTCATGAGGTTGTTACAACTGAGTGTGTCCATGTGTTGTATACCTAACTATGTGAGCAGCTCATTCAACTATGCTCCTGTACTGTACCATCATCCTAAATTAGATTGAATACTCAAAACTTCAGTGTCTAATGTCAATGTATTTAGTTTCTAAACTAGAACTGTAAAGGCGGTTTCACACTGGCATCCGCGGACGATTTCTTCGTCCGCGGACGGATGCGAAAATAAATCGCTGCCCATGTTATCAGATGGGACCGTTCACACCGCCCATTGAAACGTAGCGTCCATCCGCGGATGCAGAAATTCGTCCGTGGACGATTTGGCGGAATCGCTCTGGGAGCGATTTTTCTAAAACGTCCGCGGACGATCACGCCCTCGCGCATGCGCAGACAGAGCACCAAACCACGTGTAGCTCTCAGCGAGGCATGTGTCACTCGCATCACAGTGTTTAGTAGTTTGTGTTTACAGTCAGTGTTCATCTAGTTGTTTTTTTTGTGTCCTCCCTTGTTGTTTATTATGGCTGAATTAATTGAGGCTGTCCGTGCCTACCCAGTTATCTGGGATACAACTATAGAACCATAGAGATCAACAAGAGAAAGATAAAATTTGGTTGGAAATTGCGACTACACTCCAAAGAGATTACAAAGAGAATAAAGTATCCTAACCAATAACCATGTATATATATACGAATACTGTATAAATAATACATAAATATTACTGTATAAATACGAATACAGTAAATCATTATTACAATGATTTGTATTACTATGATTATTTGCATTATTACAATGATTCACCAAATTGCTGCCGCTTACTGTTAATCGGATGAACCCAATTTCTCCTTTTTTATAATGAGTACAAAAGTACAACCTCGTCGTCACTATCATCACTACTTGAATCAAGCCACAGAACAGAAAATCCGGGTTGACACCATGGGACAGAAGGCTCAGACATTTTGCACACCTCCACTGAGTTGTAAGAGGAAGTATGTTTAATCTATGATTGTAGTAGGAATTGCCAACTTCCCTATGCGCATGCCCGAATGAGTGGACGATTGAAACGTAGCTCGCAATGTGAAGGCAGTAGCATCCATCCGAATCATTTCATCCGTCCGCGGACGAAATTATCGTCCGCGGACGCCAGTGTGAAACTGCCTTTAAGGGGGTTGAGACTAAAGTTCTGAAACTTTCACTCGGGAAGCCAACATAATTGAGGTAAAATCAGAGGAGAAAGGCTAAGCAAACCAACCATGATAATAAACATGCTTTTGTCTTAAATTACTAAGTAAGGTTAAGCCTGTTAGTTTTGTATGGGCAGTAATTTTTTATTTACTTTTTGGTGTTTAATCCACAAACTTTATGACCAGGAAGTCAGGACACATTTTTAATTTTAAGTACTTAACTCAATTCATTTCAAATGATAAATAACACCCCCAGAAGCACAGTCCAAAGCACCTAGAATTGCTAAACATTCCATTGCAGGGTGGCCACCGCGTATCAGACGTTGGACCTGGTGGAGCCTGAGCCTCCCAGGTGTGCCAACTGTGGTCAGCCGGCCGCCAGACGCTGCTCTCGCTGTAAGGCTGCATGGTACTGCGGCAGGTAATTCAATTCTCTCTATATCACACCCAATGCTTCTTGATTTAACCATAGATAAATCATACTCCCTTATTTAACTCTCAGTGTCTCAGTCCATTGTTTAGTAATTTACATAGTTATGTTTTCATCATGGCTATGACCTTACCTCAGTTTTATGTGCTGTTTTGCAGTTAATTGATGTGAGTAAATAATTTTAACTATCTAATGTATTTTTTACCTCAGGGAGTGCCAAGTGAAGCAGTGGGAAAAACACAAGATCGCCTGTTTAGTTGTGACACCATAGAAAAAGTTGTAAGTAACTTTGTCAAAATGTATTCCTACAAGTTTTGCATACTATATGATTATGTACATAATTTGATTTCAAATATTGAACAATGTATTTTATTTGAATATAACTTAATTTTAATAGAATAAAATGGTTTGAATGATTAAGACAAATGTTTCATTATTAGGTATAGATTTGTTTAAAACAAACCTTATGGTAAAGAAATCAATCCCTACAGTTAGTTAAGCCCTTTTTTAAGAATCAGAATCAGAATACTTTATTCTTGAACATAGAGTACGGAATAGGCGTCAAACATTACAGAGATTTAATTATAAAATAGCATAAAGTTGTTTGGCTTTGAGGCGCTGTCGGTAGTGATGATTATTACTATGAGGGTTGTTTAGTCCTCACTGGAACATCGGTGAAGTTCTCCAGTTCATGAACTCTTCAACTGTGTAGAATGGTCTCTCCACAAGCCAAGCCGATAAGTGTTGTCTGGTGCTGCTTATGCTGGGGCCTTTTACTGTCTCTGGGAGCAGTTTCAGGAAATTCACTTTCTTAAGCTATTCACCAGTTCGATACAAAAATCATTGATCCTAATCCCTATAATCTGGATGAAAATATTCTGAAGAAAATTATTACAAATCACCAAGTTGTGAAGAGCTGTTATATATATTGATGATAGTCTTTTTGAAACGTTCCTCAAATGAGTATATGGCATGCTGTTTACCATTATCGATGACTAAACTGTGTTTGCTTAGAGTTCCTTAAGTTTCTTTGTGCTTCGTCGTTCCTTAATTTAATTGGACTTACAATAAGGCCGGGGCCACACGTCGCGCGGCTTATGATTGTACGATCATAAGCCGCGCGACAATGTCCCGGTCACACGGAGCGGATGAACCGCTTCCGGTTTAGGTTTCCCAGCCTACGTACTGTAAGATTAGAACATGGTTTAATTCACTCGTTAGTTGTAGTCATGGACGAAACACTTATGTTAGTTTGTGCATTAGAAGCGTGTGGGGAGCTAGAGCCTAAGGTTAACTGAAATCATTGGGTCCATCCTTTCATAACCAATAAACCATTTGTGTTCCAAACCTTTTATGAGCACATGCGAAACCATAGTTCGGAAGTTTTTTTTGTTACTATCGCATGTAGATAGCATTGTTTGACGAGCTACTTCAATTGATTCGACCGCATATAACTAAGGAAGATACACTCATGAGAAATGTACAACATGAAATACAACATGAGAAATTCCACAGATATGGTTTGTCTTTAACAAGTTCTATTAATTTGTCTGTATCGAACATTTTACACCTATAAACCGAAACTCACAAGCACAAACTAAAAAAAAAACAACTACAAATGCTTGAAAATGAGCTCCAACCCGACAATCCGTATCGTGTGGCCACTCTCATAAGACTACGTGTGTCATTCCCTCCAACGCGGCTTAAGATCCGCGGACAATCCGCGACATGGCGCGGACAATCCGCCCAGGCCGCTTAGGATCGCCCCGTGTGGCCACCCTCATTTGATTCAATGTGTTGTCGGACTACGTGGATCATCTGAGCCCCGGCCCCGGCCTTAGGAGTTCTAATGTGGATACTGTAGTTGTTTTAGTGGTTTCCATAGTAAAAGCAAAAGCCCTTTTGTGATTTTCAGTTATGATGATGACAGAAAGACTAGGAGTTTATAATTAAAAGACAATATATTTTACAAGATTGCCTTTATTTGTAGTAGCTGTCCAGACCCACATGATTCAACAATACTGAATATCTTAATACTAACAATATTTATGTGGAAATTACACTACTAAATCATAGATCAGCATCATACAATCAATTTTAATAATTTAAAAGGCAAAGCAGAGTAAACATAATTCATAACCGGTTTCTTAAACCATAAGGATCGGTACAGTAACAGAATAAAAATGTAAAACAGTATAAAAGCTATTCTTTCCTCTATCTTTAACTGGGATTTCAAATCACATCCTAAAAACTTTATAAAATAATTAAATTTTCACAATTATAATATTGTTTAAAATTAAAAACCTCATTTTCAACTGGAAACAATCATTCAGCCTTAAACTATAAATAAACACTCTACATGATCATTTAGAACCTCAATAAAGGTTATAAAATAAAATCTTTACGTAACACAGCCAGACTTGTCGAGAACCTTTAGTCACACAAATCAACATTAACAATTGCTTCTAGAATATTACTTTAGACCTGGTCATGACACCTAAATGCTATTTTAGTACTTTCGTCAATATAAAACAAGTATAAAAATACTGCAAATATTTCCTCGTGCTAAATCAAACTTGGTTTTCATCAATCTGATTTTTTTAAACGTGCATAAATAGTTAACTGGATTGTTGTATGATTGACTTACAAAAGGAAACAACTTGGGAAGAGTGGACCCATTTCTCAGCCTTAACAGCAGGAAAATGATTTTGTTACAAGGAAAGGTTTCAAAATCAGTAAGTTTCTCAGAGGTTACCTCGGCAAACTTTACGTTTTATCATATCCCAGGTTTTTAGAGACTTAAAAGGTCAAGTTAGGTTTACATTGATTTTGTAACTTATCAAACCTTTGAACGTTTAGTAGACACTGAGTAAATTAGAGGAGAGGTCACTATAATCTACACATTTATGTCGCTAAACTACTTAGTTTAATGAATATCAAAATACATCTCTTTCTTGCCAACTATAAATGCAGACCTCTGGTGGACTTGAATTGTGATCAAACCGAAGACAGTAGAAAACAATTAGAACCACAAGCTCTAGTGATCCAGGGTTAACATTCGACGCTAGGTCCAAGGAGCATATTTGACATTATTGTCTTTAAATATTGCCTGATCTAGAAGCAATTTTTTTAAAATTTTAGAATTTTTTTATATTACTTTCACGTTATATAAATTTTTCTGAAAAAAATATCCTCCATCGACCCTAGCTTCTATAAATCTTTGAAGATCTCATGATAAACATTTTATCCTGAAAACATGTTATTTTTGTTACACTCGTTTGTACAAAAGATCTGAGTAAATGTAAAACTATCAAAGTGTTTGTTGTACATTCCATAATTTGTTCGAAAAACTTAAATCCTCTCTCGTATGTAAATATGAAATAGTAAAATTTAAAAAAGGTTTTTCAACATAAAAATTATTAATCAAAAGTTTTTTTTAGACCTGTATATGATTGTTGGTTAAAATGCTCCGTAAATACAAAGGTTTGTATGTTGTAAAATGGTCGATCCAAATTATGAAAAGTACAAAAGGCTGCAGTCTCAAATTTAGCTGGAAGGGGAAGTATCCCCATTGGAATGTGTTGATGATTTGTCGAAGGAGAACCTTGAGATAGGTTGGTCTGTGTGTCCGTTCACATGAGGTTTTCTGTCTGTACCATTGGCTGGGGTGTCTTCGTTGCCTGATGGACTGAAAGTTGTCCACTCATCAGTTTTTTCGTCCAGATATTCAATGCTGTTCAAGAAGGTTTTTCCTGTAAACAACTTCAATTGTTAAAAACTGATGGTGATGAGTATGCATATCCATGAAAAAAAACTAGATATTTTATTAGATTCTCTATAAATACGTTATTTACAGATTTTGGTTTCAGAGAAATGTCTATTTTAACTGATTGATCACTGGCCTTTTGATATTGATTCTCGCTGTAGAACCAGGTTTTAGTAACAAAGCTACACAAAATATCCCATCCATCCTACACTGTGCTAGCTAAGCAATATCTACATTGCCGTCTAATAATTATAGGATTCAAAACTGGACCAAACTGGTCTTCTTCATTAACAAATCTACACAAATCGCGTATATTGGCACTTGATTCTTATGTCTGCATGCACTTGGCACAACTTCGTAGGACACGTGTTTTGCCCGTCACTATTTTCAACAACTAGCTGACTGTTGGTTTGTGGAGGGGTGCAAAGGCAAAAACTCCAGAAGGTTCTACTGTTATCAATTTTGGCAATTCTAGGTATGCGTTGTAGGTCCACAAGTTGTTTATAACGGTTTAAAAAGCTACACTAGCTATCTCACTCCATTCTCCCCTGAGTTCCCATAGCTTAAGACCACAAGTACGAACATAAATCTGCGGCCTAAAATCCATTGTTATATCTTACAAACTAATTCAACAAATATTTAACGACTCCTCACCAGAGAATCCTCCAACGGCGTAGAGACGGCCGTTGATGACAGTGACGCCAACATTGGAGCGTGGAGTCGTCATGTTGGGACCCGGACTCCAGGTCTGTGTTTCCGGGTCAAACATCTCTGTAGAAGTGAGAGAGTGAGTCCCGTCTGAACCTCCCACAGCGTACAGCTTGCCTGTGAACAAGTCATTGTTAGTACAGCTTTCACTGTTAAGATATCCCACTTCCATGTGCAAGTTGTTGCCAGTTGGCCATCAACATTGAGTTGTCAATTAATTATTTCTGTTACACTTAAATTTTGTATTTCCAATGGCTTCTAATAAGTAATTGGCTTTACAGTCTGATCAGTTGAAACATAATCTATGATAGAATACATAATTGATAACTATATGATAGCTTAGAATACAAAATTATAAAATTGGTTTTGCTTCATGAAGGCAGTGACCAACTATGCTATTCACATTTTCTTTATAATCATGAAATTCATCTCTTTAATTAAATTACATGTGTTATTTTAGCACTTCAGGTTATTTAAGTCTTTACATGTAATCTCTCCTACAACTAACTGTAAATTCTCCTAAATTGTAAGAAGTAAGTACATCTCTTTTGGCATGAAAATCACCTGAATCCTCTGGATAATGCTACATGCTCATCCAATGACCACACCCGAGCAAAACAAATACTCTAGACATTTAGCACTAACCTTTGAAGACGGCTACACCGCAACCCCTCCTGGCAGTGATCATGGGTGATGCGAAGGTCCACAGATCTGTCTGAGGGTCGTAGGTCTCTACAGAAGTGAGGCAGTTCCATCCGTCACAGCCACCCACAGCCCACACTTTGTCATTCATGGCACAAACACCTGCCTGGTATCTGCCTGCAAGTCACACCATTCGCTATAGATTACACAACATGCTGGTCCCATTGACTGTACAACACTCAGTATTACAAAAGAATGCCTTCATACTAGCTTGCAACGTCTAGCATACCCATAGTGCTAGATTTGCTCTAGGGTCTCCGCGTCCCCTATATTTTTTGGTCGAGGTAGGCCAACAGTTGGCCCGAAGGGTTTGTTCGGGCAAGAAATAATTTTTGAGCTAATTGATCACAATTCGCATTGACTGCAAAGATGTTCATAATTTGCCATGACTTTAGAAGACGTTCACTATATCAATAGAAATTAAAATCTCCCAAAACAACTAGATTTTGGATCAACGAGATTGGCCTGAATATCAGGAACAAACCTTTTTGTTTGACCAAAACGAAATTTTAAAAATCTGACCTGTTGACCCTTAGTTTTTTTAACTGATATGAGTAGTTTTTCATTTACCCCTTTTTTTTATTACACCAGAGGCATTTTGAAAGGAAGAATCTATAACACTTTTACAAGTGAAATTATCAAAACCAATCAAATTTTTGTGGATATGCTGTGGATCCAAATCGTCCCTTGTGCACCAAAGTCTGAGGCACCCAAGATGGTACTGATTTGACTTCAATTTTTAGGAATGCAATGTCAAAGTTTAAACACAGACTCTTTTCTTTCAGCCTAACTCTCCCAATTAACTGGTCATATAACTGAGGGCTCTTTAAGTTTATGTTTCTGCATTATTTATGCCAATTTTCACTAGGTTTGGATTAAAATGCACACAAATTGCAGTACAAAGCTTGTAATGGCAGTGATGGTTGAATGGTTGATGGTTTCAAGAAGTCATGTTGATTTTTTGTTAGTTGTTGATTCTCTAAGTGATCATATGACACTATTGTATTCCTTAAAGAAATCTCAATAAAGAAAATTGATTAAATGATTGATTGATCGAAAACACAGTCAAAATAAATTTAGGCATTTGTTTGATCTCGTAAAAATCTATCTAATATTAAAAATCAAGTAAGAAGGTTAAACACTCAAAATTACTGTCATAAAAAAAGGATTGAATGAAACTAAATATTTACACAAAATCAACTATAGTCTTACCAGTCAGAAGGGAAGCGATGGTAGTCCATTGTTGAGAGTCTGGATCAAACACATCACACTGTTTGATGCCTACTTGTCCGTTCCATCCTCCAATACAGTACAACTTGCCTCCCAGCTCACACACACCTGGACAAACATACAGAAAAACATAGTAGTGATGTTGTTAGTTAATATTAGATGTGTAAGGAAAATTTTGAATACAGAACATAACTATCCAAAAATGCAAAACTAAAAGAATTTTGGTTTTTATGTGTGTGAGTTTTGGTGAAGGTTTTTCACTTACTAGAAATCTAAGCTGGTTAAAGTAAAAATAAAGAGGAGATACTAAAAAGATAGAATACTAAACATGAAAACTGCTATTTCCAAAATCAAAATTATTTTTGAGCATAGTCTTAATACAAAAAAATATGTAGAAAAATTTATGAATGTAATGTAAAAGTGTGTAAAAACAGTAATGTAATGTTTTGTGATGTGTCTGATGATGCCAGCATAGCTGGAAAAAGGCCTCATGAAATTAAAAATTTTGAAATTATTTGTGAAGTTTTTATTTTAAATTTATAGTAATGTAATGGTTTCTTCTAAAAGGTTATAGTACACTAACAAAGAAAATTGGGACGATATCCTCAAGATTAAAATATCTAATAACAAAATCACGGGGAATCTTTCTCTAAGCATTCACTTAATTATAGTTGAAAAAGCAGGATTTTATCATGAGGCTGTTTCTTACTTTTTAGTACTTTAACCAACAAAAACAATTTTATGACATGTAAACTAGTAACCCATGCATTTCGCGTGCATTGCCTTGTATTACATGCAAGCTAAATTTTGCTAGTTAAATTACATCTTTCCGGTAAAAATTATTTCTGTTAATATTATTTATATCACCGAAGCTTATCAGGAATAGGCTGCATTATATTGTTATAATAGTTATTGTGATCAACCTTTTTTTTTAGCTTCAATGGTCATAATTTAATTGATACACAGGAACTCATTATAATATTAACAATTTTGTAAATCAAACCTTGTATAAATTAAGCAAAAAAACTTTGAAATTATGAGAAAAACTAATCTTTTATGTAACAAAAAACCAAGAGTGGTTATAAGATGTTTAAATCAAATAAATGTCTGCCAACTTTCAAAAGAAAATATGAACCTACGATTAGGAAACCAAATTCATGAAGAACAAATTTAACACATTAGTAAGTTCATAGTTAAACGGGAAACATTCGTAATCAAGGACAAGCACAAATATTCTATTACTAAAGGTTAATCAACTAAGAATGTAATTTCTGTAACACCTTTCCCCATTACAAAAAATTATTGATCTTAAATATATTTGAATCAGGAGCATTTCCTTCCTGAATACCACACTGCAGTCAGCAAAACAAATGTCCTGTGGAAAAATAACATGGTCATTATTCAAATCCAGAGCACCTTTTAGATCCTCATGTTTCATAAAAAAATAGTTTTTCCATCATGGTGTCTTTTGTTTTTTAAGTTTACAACTGACAGAATTTTGTAGTGAAAATGACAAAAATTCGCAAGTATTCGAACCCAATTAAAGATGTGATTATCAAAAGAAAACATTAAAAAGACATATCTCTGATATATGCAAATTAAGCAGGGTTTCTAACATTTAATGCAGTATGCCTTGTTTATTTATTCTTGACTAATTGTATGGGCATTCCAATTCAAACTCTAACAAACTTGTTATACCCTTGAAATAATTATCACTAGTGTACATGTTGCTCGAATTCGAGCAATTGCAAATATTACAGAAGATATTTCAAAACGAATAACCGTTATATTTACAACGAATTTAAAAGAGTCAACTCAAAGATTACCGGTGTGTAACTCAGACTATGTTTATCTTCGTTATTGATAAACCTAAAGCATTCGGGCCGGTTTTCTCCTTCTCAAAATGCCTCGCTGTACAGGCAACACAGGTCATTTATAGAGGGCCAATTGAGAACGAAAAGTCGTTTTGGGGTAGTGTTAGGGGGCATTTGTAACCTAATAGTTGAGATTGTCCAGGGTCAGGTGCTGACTGTGATGAGTTAAGCCTGATTTTGTCTATGCTAATACTCGCCACTGTTCTGTGAGCTGCGGTCGTTATCACGATTACGCCTCCTGTCTATATGTGTTGTTGTCGTCACGTCGGAGGCATATAAAAGAAAAAAAACAACAAATAAACAAATGATAGCTACACAAAACAACGATAAATGTTACAATCGTACTAACACGATCCGTCATAGCTACACAAAACAACGATAAATAAATACACAAATTTAAGATACTGTACAACCATACTAACAAAATCCGTCTTGGAGGTTATGTTTACACAAACTCAAATAGTAAATAAATGTACTCGATGGGTTTCATTGAATTGAAAAATAAATAACAGCAATTAAATTAAACAGCTGACCAAAATGTAAACAATTATGTTCTTCATAAGGATAACATGGGAACTTTTAAAGCCACTGGGGCAGAGCCCGAGGGACTTTTTCAAAAATGTAAGGCCAGTTTGCAAATCTACGCGACACGTTCTTTCCAATGAGATGTCAATGGATAAAATCGGTTAAGAAATGGCGGAGGAGTTCAACCGACAAAGTTTCATGTAGCGTATTAATTATATAGATTTTACAAATCAACTAAAAAAACATTTTTTGGAGTTCACAGAATAGTTAATCCGTATATAAAAACATGCAATTATTAAAACTATGAACATGACCAGTTATGAATATAGGAAATATTGTTAAAACACAACACTTAATATCAGAAATTATTTTATGAGATACAGAAAATCTGTAATGGTAATAAGCTAGGTGGGATTTGGTCAAATAAAGTTTAGCATCAGTTTTTGTTCATAAAAAAAATTGAGTAAAACTGTAGCAACGTACACAGAAACATATTATATGCAATTTTAATCACTGGCCCAAGGTAGATAGTTTACTAAGCAGAAAGATGAACCAACTTTATCATGAGTAAAACATTTTCTAACTGAGCAAACAGTACAGCTTTATAGAATGATAAAATATAATCAGAATAATTGTTTTAATATAATCAAAATAATGGTGACTTACCAGTCGCAGTGATGACTTACCGAAGTGGAACGCTGCTACGAGGGGGAATTTTTAACAACTCAATTTGGAATGATTTTGGAAAGAAAGAATTCATCTCAAAGGTTAGGTGAAAATCGGAAAACATTTAAAGAAGATATATTTAAAATTTTCCTATCATATCTCTAAAATATAAACTAAATTTTTGTTTGATTAGTTGAAATAAGTATAAATTCGCTAAAAAACCTTTAGCAAGAGTGTATGTACTTTCCACCCATAATTCTAGCAAAACTGTTCTCTTCCAAAGGGCTTACAATGTCAACTTAATTTTTGTTAAAGATGTTAACTTGTGTTTGAAATCGCAAGAGATAAAATTAACACAGTGCAGTGTGTAAACACTTGTTAAATGATTTAAATGTTCAAGTGAGAAACACTGAATTGCCATTGGGTTTGATTTTTACGAGCACTATGGGGAATAAACCTTTTGATAGGACCAGCAAAAATAGTGAGTGGGGGTAAAATCAAATTGTTAACACCTTTTGCTAAATATTTTTAACAACTGTATGAAAATTACCAAGAGGTTGAGGTAAAATGTGTTAATACTTAAATGCAAGTATTATTTATTAGCCTAACCAAACAATAAAATCTAGTGATCTTCTAAACTCAGCATTATAATAACCCTATTTAAAGTGGAAATTGAATTTTCATACTGTTCCTTTGAAGGGTTTAACCTATTTTTTGACCAGTGTGAAGACCCAGAATTGCAGGAAGTATGGGTTTCTCTAAAATAATCTAGTGAGGGTCGTACGCACCGGTGACAGGGGTCGCAGGCTGGCTCAGCTAGCAGACGATGCTCCGTTCTTCTCAAGGCTGAAACGTAATCAAGAGACCAAACCTGTTTAGTCGGGTGTAACAGACCATCGGCCTTCCTAGCCTAGACACAACCACAGACACATTACCTCCACCTAAATCTTCAAACCCCCTGACAACCTTACAACAAAATGTACAGTTGAGAGAATTCAAAAGAAAAATACAAATTTGTTTAGTACCCCTTAAAGAAAATACAAATTTGAATTTTACTTTTTAAAATGTTTAGACAAAATAACTCATGTAAAACTTCTCATCAGAAGATTACGGTGGGGCAAATAAATACTAAGAAATGAATTGGAACACTTAAGACTTACCCAGTGTCCTGAGTTTACTAGGAAGTCACCGTCTGTCTAAAAACAAAACACATGACACGTGCAAACGAATACATGGAAATGCTCCTGAGATTCTATTTCCCACTTTGCACAGTTTCCACTTCATGATGATAATGATACTCATTGTGAAATCAATTATAACTTCATTTATACTTAACATGATGAAATGAAAGTGGAAACTGTGCTTTCCCTTATTTTAGCAATCCCTTCTACATTGGGCTACATCTGCTGGTACTGGGCTATTGTAAGAATATTTAGTAATAAGTATGCAAGATAAGCGGGTCGCCAGAATTTTATCCCCCTGGAATTTTACCCCCTGGGCAAAGCTGACGTCACTATAACGTAGTAACCTGAGCGGCCAAAAGTTTGTTCGCAGCCGGAATTTTACCCCCACGGATTTGAAAGTCTAATGAAAATAGTCAGAGCGTGATTAATTAGATTAGCGATGAAGACCGGAATTTTACACCCTGTCCATATAACTATCGTTTGGACAACTGAAGATGTACGGGCCTGATTTTTACCCCCTGTTTTTTACCCCCCGGAATTTTACCCCCTGGCCGATTTTAGAAATTAAATGATTGATTTTCTTATTTCTGTTTATAATTAATTGTAAACATTTCATTATTTAGTCTCCTATCTTTATTCATTTATTTTGTAATCTCAACTAAGTAAACAGAATTCGCTGTTTAATTTTGATCATATTAACCAACAGTTGGCTTCAAAGATCGAATCCTGATACTCGAATCTCAAAATTAAAATTAAAAAGCTGTTCAATTAGTTAATGTTACAAATAAATTAAGATAGGCTACTTAATAATAAAATGTTTAGTATTAAATTAAAACTGAATGAATATACAGTAATTAATCATTCTCACTAATTTATATATCTGGCCAGGGGGTAAAATCCGGGGGGTAAAAATCCGGGGGTAAAAATCCAGGGGGTAAAATTCCGGGGTTAAAATTCCGGGGTAAAAATCCGGGCCGTACATTCTAGGTTTTTATAATTTGATGTGTTCTGATTAAATCCAAAACCGTGAAAATATATGTTTAATCCATCGAGCTGATGTCGCGAAACTCAAAAGTTCGCGGCCGGAATTTTACCCCCTGGTTTGTGACGTCACATTTGCCCAGGGGCTAAAATTCCAGGGGGATAAAAATCTGCTACCCCAGATAAGCTTATTGATAGTAACCGGAAATACGAATGCTTTGTACTCTAAACAATTATTACTGTAAATTTTGATAGGGGGTTTCTTGTTCTGCTCAATATTTACAGGTGCATTTGGTTCCAGGCCTGTTTTAAAGGATTACGATTACAGTTTAGTAGCTCGTTAGTAGGAATATCAGAATATTAAATACTGAATACTCAAAATAAAAATATAATTAAAATAACTGCATCCAAAACACAATAATTATAAAAATAGGAGTCTTGTCTTCAGGTTTTGATTGAATAAACAACTGAAGAAGGGACTGGTATATCCAGTACTTTGCCTATCGATAATCCTACCTACCACAGATTTATTTCACCACATCATAAATTAAACTCATCTAACACTGCTTTTAAGTATTTGGAAAAAGGCCTAGAACCTACATGGAACCTTGAGTAAAAAGACCTAACTCAGAACTCTCTATGAACCATAAAAAAGATTTTGTTTACATCTGATACTGCTACTGTCTATACCAGAATCTAGAGAGCGCTGTCATTGACTGGCAGGATAGGCTTGATGTGGATGTGACTACACCGTTGCTAGCAGCTGATCATTTATACAAATGAAATGTAAAGTAAAAAAAAAAAACACACACACCGATAGCAGCTTCCAAATTCTGATATAGACACTAGCAGATTCAAAAGACAACATTTTATTGGCTCAGAGAGAGTTCTGGGTTAGGACTCATTTCTCTGCTGGAAACTCAGTAATAAATAAACACAGCTTTTGAAAAATGAAAATATAACTTAACCTCCACAAATTTTTTTCAAACTATTTAACCTACAATGAGATCAATTTACCAAAATAAAAGAGCAACAACACCAGTAGCAGCAGATGCAGCGACTCACCATCCCTACGAGACCCAACATGTAGAGTGAGAAAGACAGTAACTGACCTGTGTTGGAGCGAGCGAGAGACAGAGAAGTGACGCGAGTCCACTTGCCCAACTTGGGGTCGTAGCACTCCACTGTCGCCAACTCCGTGGTGCCGTTACATCCGCCCACTGCGTATACCTTGTCTCCTACGACAGCTATGTTGAAGCGGCCACGGGCCTCACGCATCGGAGCCAGCACACCCCACGTGTTATGCTCAGGGTCGTACAACTCCACGCTACGAAGGCACTCAGCGCGGTCGTACCCTCCTGTGAACAGTGCAACTTTAGCCTGGTTCCATCTTAGACTATCTATACTATGAGATAAATTAAAAAAGTGGTATTTTCATATGCAAAATAACCTTCACTATGAAAAGTAGCAGAGGTCGCAAGTATGAGGTAGCAAGTGATAAGGCTGTAGCCAGTTTAAGAATGAAATTGAATGTACCAAGTTAAAGTTTTAATTTTTCTGACTGATTCTGGCTATCACCAACATAAAAGCTTGACTTGACCCACAAATTATCCCCGCCCCAAATCAAACCTTGGGCTAACTGTTGACCCTTATATAGATTGGATGTATATATATATATATATATACAATGTGATTGGTTTTACTGACCACAGACAAGCAGGTTGTTGTTGAGGTTGGCACAGCCAGCGCCACACTTGACACTGACCATGTTGGCCAGACCACAGTACAAGTCAGGCTTCTCCACAGGGGTCTGTGTGTCAGGTAGGGGAGAGGGTGATGACGGCTGGTTCAGTCTCAGCATCACTGACAGGGTCGCCAACTTGTTGCCAACACTTACCAGAGCCAGAAACGAATGTTCTACAACAATCAATCATAAATGTAAAAATATATTTTTGTGTCAAACATTGTGTCATAAATCAAGCTAAAATAAAAAAAAAATAATAAAACAAATTTCCTTTGATGCTCAACCAAAGGGAAAAGGTTTAATTTACTGTAAAGTGACTTTGTTATCCTCTCAAGGCCTCAATTTACTTTTAAAACTCAACGTGATTGGACTCTGACCATAACACCTAAAACTTGACTGCATGGTTCCTTAACTTACCTGCAACTTTCTTGGAAGCAATCAGGGTGAACTCCTTTTCAATGTCAGTATCCAAAGTGTCAGTTCTGTTGTAGAGCAACACTCGTGGCTTGGCCGGCTGGATCTGGCCCTTCCTGCGATTCTGAAAAGTAAATCAATGTTTTATACATGCAAATGTAGTTATTATTTTAAACTATAAAACTATAATCACACCAAATATTTCCATCAATATCCTATGGCCGAGCCTCCATTCATTGATGTTCCATTGGTTCTCTTTTGATGTCAAAAGGAAATCACAATCTCTGGTGAAGAGTGTTACTTCACGGTAAACGTTCACAGTACCACTGAGACTGCAAGATACGCTCACAAGTGTTGCCAAGATCACGGGATATGGTAACGGTATTGCCAGAACACAGTTGTGGGAGAAGACCATCAGTGTTTGCTGGCTTTCTACGGGCCGTAGGTCGGAGACCCCTGAAACATTTAGATGAATGTATTACCTTTGTAGCTGGGTTGACGTTGGTCTTCTTGGACATCTTCTTGTAGTCCTGGACAATCTCAGTGTCAGACACATCACCAGAGGGGAGCTCAGAGCAGTCCTGCAATGTGTTGTCCAAGGCAAGGTACAGCAGATGGGTCTGTCAATAGAGATGGACCGATTAGACATTGACCAATAGGACGATACTCTTACAATACTAACAAAATACAAAACACATACAAAACACATACAAATATTTTACTAACAGCATTTTCATAGACCTAATACAGTATCGTTATACACATTCTTCACCCCTTGAATGGTTACTTCATAAGCAAAGTATTCAAAATATTTGCTGTGTTTGCTACCTGAAGATTTACTACATTTTTTAGGTTTAGTACTAGTTTGACTGAACAAGCTCTAACAATAATAAAGTGTCAGTAGAATCACTTATCATAATGCTCTCAAGCAGAGTTAGAATCAGTATAAAAGACAGTCTGTGGAACAAAGAGGCTGATACTAGATGACAAAAATGCTGCCATATTGAGCTTGCATTCAAAAAAGTAATTTACTTGTGTGTATTCAATAACCATTAAGACATTTTATACTTTCTTTAGAAGGAGCATAGTTAATTTGTTTTCGAGTTATAAGACATACTGAAAGCTCATTCGCAATGCAAACTATTGGTTACATATAGTGCAGCCAATAAAGATGATGAATATGAATACCTTCTCTGTTAGAGTGTTGACGTTTTCATCGTCATGAGAACGCTTGACCCAGTCCAAGACGAGGTGACACAGAGACTCACAAGTGACGAGACTCATTTCTTGTCTGGTCTGGTTCAACACTTCCACTCGGACACAAGGTAGCGCTAGCAGCACTGATGTCTGACTCACTTCCTCAAACTGTCAGACAAATAAACAGGGTTGTTTTACAGTTAATTACATTTACTATAGATAAAATTAGAGTTGTGCAAGGGCTCCATTTTCAAGCAGAGCTGAGCCTATCCTAAGCTTAGATTTTGAAAGCCAAGTCAGAAAATTGACTTGAGCCAAACCTTAAGATTGTTATGTAACGCATCTGCCGAAATTGCACAGTATGAAATTCACGGTTTTTCCACAGTTGTGTGTGACAATCATAAACTTTCCGTGATCAAGGGAGACGATGAGACGTTGTCCCTCCGACCCAAGTTTCAAAATTAAACTCAGTTGAATTGAGCCAACAGTGTTCTGTTGACAGTTGGATTACTGTATTCTATCTTAGACACCAGCTTTTTAACCAATCCAAAATTAAAGGCCAACATATTGCAAATTTGTAACGGGCCAAATGTGTAGGGGGGTAAAATAACGGTTAAAACACGATAATTAAACAGCCAAGTGTTGGCTGTTGGAGCAGCATAGTCGTGACACTAAACTGACATCGTACCTAACCTCAAATTCCAAGATCGCAGACGACGTTGGTGTCAGTTTGGTTGTTTGGTTGTTCGACTGCGTCTGAGGGCGGGCTACGGGAGAAAATAAGAGCAGCTGAGCCACCTTTTGAGTGAGGCGGCTATAAAGCTTGTGGAAGCTGTCATGCGCCTGCCTTCGCCGACACGGATCTCAGCTGACTTTAGTTCTGCTAGCCAATCAACGGGCGAGTTAACCTTCGTCTCGAATCTGGGACGAAGGTGAACGAGAGAAGAATAAGGATTGTTTTTTGGATTCCCGGCTGAGAGATTCGCTCGTTCGTCTTCGTTTTGAAGTGAAGTGATTGGCTGTGCTTCGTAAATTCGCTATACGTTTTTTAAGTTAAATATTTGTACATCGTGTGCACGCAAAATCGTTAGAGGAATATTTTTTGTCGTAGGTAAGTTGTGCAATAAACAACTTAGGTTTTCGCATATTATTTCTCCACCAGTTCTGTTTTGACAAAACTTCGCTGAAAGTTTGCAGGCTGGGCCTGATTCGCAGACCTAGTCATACGCCTTAACCAACAATTTGAGTAAAGTACTGCAGTTGGTGACATAGCTTTTTAATTAACGTTTCTTAATCCGTCTTGGGACTTTCCTTTTTAATTCTTCCAAAGTTTGTTCCAGCAGACAGGTTTCTGCTGGACAATTTTTGTCGAAGTTGGTTCAAGTTGAACACGTGAGAAAGTTAAAGTTTTAGTTTTTCGTTTTCAGCTCAAGGAGCAGTTTATTTTTTTTTTTAGTTTCAGTTTTCTCGTTTTGTTTCTCACTTGGACAACTTAAGCCAACTTGTTTTTTTTTGTTTAATAAATTCGGACTCTGTGGGAATTAGGCTAGGCTAGGCCTATCTTGTACTAACCTTGTTTGTTACAGGTTAACGTCATAACTCCGTAGGTCAGCGGGGTGACTACTTAGCGTACTAGTTGTCTCGTTAAGTTAGCTAGTAGAGTGTCACATAGATATTTGTCCACAGAGTCAAGTTAAAATTATTAATTTCCCCACAAGCCCCAGACTAGAGTGGTGATTTCAAGTGTGGTGTTTGGTAACCCGCAACGTTCGTCTCGAGCTCTGTTAACCAGGGCTATCAAATTTAGGCTATCCAAATCACTATCGAATCCTTGGAAAATCCCCGCGACCAAACTTGGGCGATTCCTGGGATCTCGTTTATCGTATCGGTGGCGTAATTTCCCACGTATTGCCAGTCAGGAAAATTGCGTCACAAATTATGGCATCTTTTTTATCATATCAACTATCATGGTACAAAAAGCAAGTGGGAAAATGGAAATTTAAACTGCAGCTCACTTTGTGAGTAGCATAAGTCAGCTGATGTTCCACTTCCATAAAACAATGGCTACAGATGTTCTATAGGCTATAGAAAAAAGACACAGGATGTCTACTTCAGTAAGTTTGATGAATTTAATACACAAAATTATGCAACAACTATCTTTATATACATTTTAATAAAAAAAGGGAACAAAGTTGAAATGGCAATATAATATGATTGAGAAATCTTAGTTATAATTTGCCAATTAATGGGGTTAATCAACAGTCACTTACTTAATGAGCATACAAAAAAGGAAATTTATCACCATATTATAATAGTTAGAAGATGAACAATTAATAATTGGGAGTTATTAATTGTTAACTTACCGGTACTGTAAATTTTATAACCAAGAAAAAAAGGTAAAGATTTTTAACGATACTGCAACTGTGAAGCTTGGATCTGTTTCAAGAATACTTTTTCATTAAAAAAACCAACAATAATATACACTTTTAAGCTTATCGAGGTGCTCGATTCTGAATCTGGTATTTAAAAGTTAGCACTTGTGAGGCTGTTCAAGCCTAGGGTTGTTTTGATAGCCCACTTACTAGGATGAGAAAGTCCACATTGGCACAGGCAACACAAAAACTTTACTCTATACACAACAATTTGAATATTTTACTGTCCCTACAGCATTTCAATCAAGGAAGGTTTAAGTTAGGGAGAAAGATGAATCCCATTTCATATTGTTCTCAATGAACTTGAAGACACCACTTTCTCCAAACTCAAACCTTTCTTGTTAGAAAGTGTACAAAGTGATAATAAAATATTCAAATTTGTGCGTATAGCGTAAAGTGGTTATGTTTCTTGTGCCGTAGTGGACTCTTTCCCATCCAGGGTAGTATGTGATCTTATCACAAATCTCTAAATCCTAATATTTAAGCCTTTTACACCATGTTGTGCACTGAGAACTGACCTGCTGAGCAATGTAGCTGTCCACCTGAGCCACGAAGGTCTTGTTCCGAGCGATGCCCGGCAGTGAGCGTATCTCTATGCAGCTCTCCGCAGCCATGTGTTGTATGAGGTGGCGAGCACACTCCTTGGCTACTCTGTCCATCTTCAGCTTAGTGGCTGTCTGGAACACTGACTTGACTTGGTGTGACCGCACCTCCAACCTGCATAACATCAAATTAATCATCTTGTGATTCCGATTTATGGTTGATATAACATTCTAATAACAAGCATTGATGTTAGAATATGATTGTTTGTACAACCTTTCAACTTATTTAAAACCCCAAATAAGGATGTCTAAAGAACCAGCTCAGGGGTTTTTGGAGATATTTGGGAGACCTTTCAAAGCTACTGCTACTGCTACTCAATGTGTGACATATCTTGTGGTTCTGGAAATTTTTATTTTGTTAGGAAAGTATCAAAACAAAAATATGAAAAAACTTAGATAGTGTTAGAAGGAGGTTATTGGAGAGCAATATCTTTGACTATTAATACATGTTCAGTATTCAATAGTCAACGGCTATGTCTTAAGAAAAAAACTGGAAATCAAAAGTTTTAATTTAACCTTACCTAGCAGTGTATGCGTAGTCAATGAGTTTCTCCAAAGCTAGTTTGTCAAAGCCGCCGTTGAGGTGGTAAGTGACAATGTTCTCTCGGACACCCTTAGTCTCATCATCAGCTGAGAACAGCTCCAGAAGATGAGGACTGGCGGAGGCTAGCACAGCGCGGTGGCCGTGCAACTCACTGTTGCCAACCTAAACACAACAAATCACATAAGCTGAGAGTAGACCCAGAAGATGAGGACTTGCGGAGGCTAGCACAGCACGGTGGCCGTGCAACTCACTGTTGCGAACCTAGTACACTACAAATCACATATGCTGAGAGCTAGATCCAGTTTCAAGAACCAATTTATTTTTCTTAGGATTAAATTGGTGACCATCTAGGTGGACATATTTAAACTCAGTAGGATTTTTGTCAAAACACGTTCTATTTAGTTAAATAGTATGAAGAAATAAAACTCCCTTTCAAGGATTGTGTGTTACACACAATGCTCCTAATTAATAAAATCTGAGACTACACATTTTATTCTGTGGCGTTCACAGTTGACAACACTGACGATGACCCAATTTTTGATCCTTAACGGGCATTTTCTCTTTTAACTACATTGAGAATAAGTCCAATATTAGGATGGAATATCAGAATCATCTTTTGTGAACTTTTATTGTGTGTCTATTAGCACCAGGACTCCTTCTTCAGTAAGCTAGCTTTCCTCAAACCCTTTGCAAAAGTTACCCATTAGTTACAGACATATTTGTACCCATCGATTAGCTCTTGGAATTTTCTTTTTATTGCCTCTTTATATCCTTGAAAAATCTAAAATATTCAAATACATTTTTGAAGTGAATTCTACCATACCTCGATATTTAACTTTTCAGTATCCTCAATATTTTCAAACCTATCTCAAACATCACCATCTATTCAACTACCCGTGCCAAAGAGTATTGTTGGCGTGCCATACAGTTTTCAATCCCCATCAAGACTAATGAGGTGTGCAGTGTGCAGTGCCAAAAGGGTCACCAAAGATACTGCCACTCGTCAGACCATACAACTTTGAACATTCCGCTCGAGTTCTGACGCACGAGGGGCGACAACTCGGCCAGTCAATAGAGCGGCCGGCTAATTGTAGCAATTACGCCGACAGATTCTCACTATCTGGATTGGCCGAGAGACAAGTTGGCATCAAGAACTGCCTCAGTAGGCCAAGGTCATGCTACTTGCAAACATTCTCAACAGGTGGGCAGATTGTTTCCTCTACAGTTTTCCTATTGACTGATTTACGGGGACATCGTACTCTTGTGGGTTGGCAACACTGTATGACCTAGATCTGACAACAAATAAATCATATTGACTTTTATTTAAGATCCGGATATGAAGGTACCATAATATACAAATTTGTTACCAATACATCTTCTGTCATCCATGTTAACAATATTTTTTCAAAATGAGTTTACTGTTTTCTCGTTTATACAGTTTCTATTGGCAGATTTACAGTACATTGTCCTCTTGTATCTGTAATCGACTTAAATTTGACAACAAATAAATAGTTCGGATTTTTTCCAAGATCCAGATAAGAAGATACCAAATGATACAAATAGGTTACAATATATCTTTTGTTGTCTATTCATACAAACTTTTATTTATCTCATATTTACTTTATTAACTTTATTTTTATGCCTAAAGTTTTATTTATTCAAAAAATCTTTTCAGTGTTTTATCTTTGTCTGCAGTTTCCTGTTTATTGACAGGGGGACATTGTGCTCTTGCGGGTTTTTCATTGTCAACATTGTCTGACCTAGTTTAAAATTAATTGGAATGATATAATATAATAAATATATTACATATTTTGCTGGATTAATATGTAGGTTTATTTTGTATAAGATGTTTTACTGTTTTATCACCGTCCAAAATTTCTATAGTATTGACAAATTCACTGGGACATAACACTCTTGCAGTTTCTTACTGTCAACATTGTCTAGCCTACACCTGACAACAAATAAACCATATTGACTTTAGTTCAAGATCCAGATATAAGAGAACCAAATAATTGTACAGATCTGTTACAATACATATTCACTACAAGTAATTCAAGTTTAAGATTATTGTTTGAAAGATATTTTTACTATTTTATCTTTGTCAGCAGTTCTTCTTCTATTGTCATATTTACAGGAATATTAAGCTCTTGTAGGATTCTTATTGTCAACATTATTTAACTTAGATCTCAGACAAATAAATCATATTAACTTTTGTTTAAGATTCTGATACAAAGGTACCAAACAGTAATACAAATCTTTTGCCGTACATTCATACTTGATATTCTTTTTAAATAATATTTTGATTAATTTGGTTTTCAGAGGAGTTACTAAAAAATTAATATTTATACGTAGTAAGTATTTGAGGCCCGTTATCAACTCCAAATAATCACTTCTAAAAGCATAAATGACATTTCAAATGCAGTACAGAACACAAATGGTTTACTTTACTGCAATTACCTGACAGAAGATAAACAACAGACGTACGCTGAATTTTAATGGCTCAATTTAAAGCAAATTGAAATATTTTGAAACGTTGAGAAAAGATTTCAGGTTTCCAAGCTGAATTGATTTGAAAAATGCAAAAACATACTAATGCAGTCCTTGGTGAAACAACAAAAATAAATCGTATTAAGGCCCAAATGTAATGAGTTTTGTATGCAATTTATCTTTTGTGATTTTGGTACTTCAGTATTAAACGGAGGCCACATTTTGTCAGCGCGCTGCGGCGGTTATGTTAGGTTGGGTTATCATAATAGAAAGTATCGTTCGATTCATAACGAAGCGAGGAAAGTCCTACACACATAATATTTACGATAACCCAACCTAACATAACCGCCGCAGCGCGCTGACAAAATGTGGCCTCCGTTTAATACTGAAGTACCGTGATTTTTTTTACATGGTTTAAGCATTTATACTCTGACACTATGTAATTTATACCTACAGTCTATCTGATGTGCGGGAACAATATTCTAAAACGAAAAATGAACAGATATACAAGTATGTATTACGGGAGTATGATTTATCTATGGTATTACGCAACAAAATAATGTGAGTAGGTATGGCAAAACTTCATTATTCCTATCAATTAAAGTGACATTTAAAAGAAGTTGTGTAATTTTTAGTCCAAAAAGTACAATGCATGTAACAAAACGTTATCGTGTTTAAGTAATTCAATGTAAAACGTAATGGTAGTTTATCTTAATTGTGGCAATCCTAAGAGCAAATCTCAAAGATAAGGTTAAGTGTTCTGCTAAATTTATCGTTTTAAATAAGGGAATTTTCATTCACTAGTAAAAACACAACCTCTTGGGTTTTTACAGATAAGAAATTAGCAATGAATTGATTTTCAAATCATATTCGAGCAACTTCCCAATTTTTGGAGGTTATGTTACGTTTTCCAGTTATTAACAGTTACTCTTGTTTTGTGTGGTTTTGAAAACAGAGTGCCTTAAAGTCAATGACTAAACTTTAAAATCACCATTGGTCATTGCCAACATCAAGAGTTCCTTCCAATGTAAATTATATAAAAAACCTGATTATCAAAAATCAAAATCGAATCAATCCAAAAAGCGACTCACATGCAGTATGACGTCGCAGAAGGTGCGGTTCTTGCGCATCATGTTGAGAGAGTGGAGGGTGCGGACGGGCATTTTATCGTCCATGAACAGTAGCTCATTGCCCGTGGGGGAAGCGTCACCTCCGTTACTTTGCTCCGTCATCTCCTCACCGGTCCCCGTCACCTCCAGGTCAGCTGAAACAAAACAACCGGTTGAAAATAAGAAATTTATAATTGGGAATCCACGAGGACAGAATTACAGGGAACTCACAGATTTGCTCAGTAAACAAACATAATCTTCTGGTGATCAGGCTTATTTATAAAAACTACACCATTTTTGCAAGAAGGAAAATCTTACTTCTTAACTGTAAAAAAATGTTGATTTAATGTACAAATATATCTTTATTAAATGACAGTATGTGCAGCGAGTAATCTTTCTCATTATATTTTGTACCTACTGTATTTCCTTATTACTTAAGTGGTCGAAATTTTTCCAGTGTTGTAGTGCTTACAAAGGTCGTGAAAAATAAGGGTTGCTTACCAAAATACGACTATGGATTCTTTATATGAATGATTGTAATGATTGAAGGTAATGAATGTATGTAATGAATGTAATGTAATGACTGATTGAATGATTGTATATATTGACAATTGTATTTTTTATGACAATGCCCATTGCATTTTGTACAATGCTTAAAGGAAAATAAAATTTCATTTCATTTCATTTGAAAAAACCAGAGCAAAAACCACCTACGCTTTCTTGACCCACTACACTACTGCTTATTACAAGTTCATACGTGTAAAACAATGCATCCAATGTCAGAACTACTTTATAACCCAATACAAAGTCCAATTAAGTTTTAAATTCAAGATTTTCAAACTTATACCATTGGAAAAATGTCAAACAGCTATCTGGTCGTTCAACTTCAATCTATTTCTAGCTCTTTCATGAATACGCCTCTACTAAACTTTAGGCTAACTGGCATGTTGAATGTTTTAGTGGACTTGTTTTGGCTACACAGACTCCCGGGTTTACGTTTCATGTTTCTGCCAACTAATCGGACTCATTTATTTTCATTATTAACGATTACTACTCTTCCTTAGAGTAGATGTTTCTTGATCTTCATTCAGCTTAAGGTTTTTTCATATTTTAGTGTGTTTAACTTGTTGAGATGTGCTAGGTAAGGGTTCGATAACAAAAAATAATTCACAGGATGAATATTTCATGTGCAGAAAACCAAAGACTTAAAAAACACTAATGCTTTCCAATAAACAACATTTATACGTCTTTAGGAATTTAGTTTACAAACAACGTAAATATAAATGCTGCACAGCGATCCTAACCACCAACAGTTTAAGTTTAGAATTCAAACATTCTTTGTAAATAACAAAACCACATAAACATACTCGTACAAACAGAAATCGATTGGCCAGGGCATCAAAGGCAAAGTTTGCAAATAGACCAGCCCAAGCCCAGCTATCTATCAAAACAGCTGCATACGCAACTTGTATGCATTTGTATAGGAATGCATACAAACAAATTTAAAATATAACATCAAATATGTCCAATAGTAGGCCTAAATCATTCTTGGTAAAATAACCTATAGGTCTAATCAATATTATTTTTACCAACTGTAAAAAAAAATTCCTACAGCAATAAATATCTACTAAAAATGATTAACACAACTAATTTAACTAACACTACTAAAAACAAGACTTAAAAAATATGAACAAATTAACAAATAAAATGCTGTACCGTAAATAAATACCCCCGCCGCAGCAAACCTGCAGACTAAGCAAATTTCCATTTGCCTGATTGGGTTTACACTAAAATGTCTCCTTAAAAATATCAACATTTATTTCCTATTTAAATAGAATCAGTTTAACACATACTTAGGTTTGCTGCAACAAGGAGGGTAAAAGTGTTTTATATGTAAAATGTTAATAGTTAGTAAGAAATAAAAACATTTTCCAAATTTGGGCAACAAATGTTAATAAACAAGCAAACTACAACAGTTTACTTATTCTCCATAAGAATAACATGGGAATTTTAAATTTAAAATTTTTTGGAATTTTCTCCGTAACCATTAGGTGCATTATAACGCTTCAATATACTAAATTATTTGTTTTTTTAAGCTCTACAAAATAGTTTGGAAAGAAATTGCAAAATTTTATGTTTTTTGAGTCAAAAGTGGGAAAACCTCATTTTTACCCCATAAAACCCCCCATAAACCCCCGTTCCCATGGTCCGATCATGCTGGTTCGCGAACTCGTTCGAATAAACGTAAGTTTACACGTTTGTACCAAATTTCATCAAAATCGGATCGTTTTTGCTCGAGTTATCGCGCTAACGGACACATATATAAATATATATATATATATATATATATATTAAGCAAATCAAAATACCACAGTACCCTAGAAACATTTTATTTTATATTACTTACATAAAAGAAACTAATAGGTTATATACTATACTGTGATCATGGCATTAATGTCCGAAACATGTAAGTAATATAAAATAAAATGTTTCTAGGGTACTGTGGTATTTTGATTTGCTTAATAACATTTAAAGTAGCCCTCATTGATGTATACAATAACAAAATATATATATATATATATATATGAATTTGAACGGATGGTGTTTTTGGCCTCTAGGGACCTCAAAACGAAAAAAAAAAATCGGTCCCGGGTCCAGGTCTTACCATGAGTACTACGGTAATAGCTTATTCCCTATATGGGAAATTCGCTAAAAAAGATGCTTAAACCAATTTCTTTGTGTAAAACTGATTAAGTTTAAAATTATAACTGTTATTTGTACATGGAAATTAAATTATCATAATAATTTTAGATTCTCAGTAACTTTTATATCCAGCATTGTAAAGAATAAATCTGTTTTACTATCAAATCCAAGAATCCAACTCACGTTGGGAAGATCTTCAAATGAGTTTGAAAAGCTGAAACAGGAAGCTCAAATTGTCTACCAAGAACACCTCTAGTTGTGGGATATAATAATTGTGTCTGCTCACAATACTATTGTAGGCTATAGCACTATATCATTACATGTACAAGGTCTAATCTGTCATGTAGTCCTATAGATAATAATCAACACTTGTTGCATTACGTAAAGTGCACATATAAAGTGTGAAATGCTGTGGCTATGGTTGTTCTGAAAAGATCGAGTACTAATGAAACGGCTGACAAAATTAGCCATATTTAAATAATAAATTTTTACTAGTCTTACAATAGAATTGGCTCACTATTACACTTATTCAAGACTAGAAACATTTTTAGAATCTGTTGTGTTGAGTAATAAATCTTTGTATATAATGAGTAATCACTTAAGTAATCTATCTAAACAGGGACATGACTTAAGCAACTAGATCATAAAAAAGAATGATAATTAGGTTTCTATATGAGGTTTCTGTCCCTCTAATCATGTAGTTAAACCTTTCTGTTAAAATATAAGAACTTGTTGTTCTTAACAAGAGTACCGGTAGTTTAAACAAACAGAAGGCCATTACATCTAAAGAGTGCAATTTTAAAAATATAGTGTCAATAAGCAAGAGAAAACAATTTGGATCTGTGTCACCCGATAAACCAAAAACTAGTAAAACAAAACAACCACTCTTTGTTAAATGACACTTTGCATACACCCATAGAAAAACCTCCATAAAAAACAAAGCCGTAACAATTAATCCAATACTTCTAGTGCAAATCTTTCATGTTGAAATATAGAACAATAACAACTTCTCAAATGTGTATCTTTTGTTTTGCACCACTGACTGAACAATTACGGAGGTTTGTTTGTTTGGGAAAACAATGATAGGTTAACTGGGCCACACAAGCTCTATAAACAACTGAATTGTTTACAATACCTAAAATAGCTTCATCCATCCGTGTAAACAACACAATTTCGGAAAGAAGTGGATTTAAAAAACTTAAACACATATATGTACTACGATTGTTTAATGGACAACAATGTTTACAAACCAGTTACCATTCTAAATTGAGAAATAGTTGTGTTGGGCTATTATGAAACAGTTATCACAAGGGACTTTTAAAAAGGTATAGAAAATAAATGGTAAAAATAAAATGGGAAAAGTACCAGGAGAAAGTAGATAGGTGTTGCGAATTGTGAAATTTAATCAATCGTAGCTCCAAAATAACTCTTCAGATCTCACACGTGAGTGTTTAACAGTCATGTGTTTTACATTTTTACGTAGACCTAGAACTATGTGTTTATTGGTGAATACTGATTATTTCTAGAGCAGACACAGAGGAAATGTGCGTATAAGAGGGGAAACCGGGGCAACTTTCCTTGCCTCTGGGAACAGGATATCAGCATCAGTGTGTGGGCCATGACAAGACAGATTCTTTATACGTTAACCTTTAAATTACCTCTTAGAAATCCTAGGTCACAAGATATAATAGAGATTATAGTTATAAAGCTATAAATTAACGGTATAATAATCGACCAATAATTCAACTTCAGTACTAAACATTCCAACATAGATTTTCCAAAAAAACCTCAATAAAAATGCAACCAATAATGCAGCTATGCATCAACAATGAACAAATCAACCAATGACTAAATACAGTAACTAGTCTATATTCATTTTTAGCCATTTTAAATTTTAGTTCTCTGACTTAGTAGATTAGGAATTTTATTTTTACTTTATTTTACTACCATTGAACAGACAATATACTGTAGCCTACTAATTGATTTGATAATGATTTGGTTAGACGAATAAAGATAATTTCCATAAAAGGGCCTTAAAGCTGATTCCCTGTGCAAATACATGGTTTAGCTTCATGTATTCCTTGTTCACGAGGTTTACTGAACGACCTTGGTTAAGGTCGATCGCCTTGAAGGTGTGTCTACAAGTGTTATAGGGAACGGACAGTTGTGTATTGTAGTGAACTAATAAGGGAGTGACTCTGAAAAAAAAAAAACTGTACAATGGGAGCGGGAGGACAAGAGAGTTTAGCAATCAGTACCAGCGTCTCTTCCGCAGGATTTGGAATTCTAGAGTAGCCTATTGCCATTGTGATTCATAAAAAATAACTCTGTGAATCTTTTATACATCAATTGCTGAGTCGAGTTAGTTCGCAATTCGTTCTTTGTTATATTCACTTGTTAAGTTATTGTGCACATATATTAAGAGTATGCTTTAAATAATTAAAATGTAACA